TAGTTACCCTCCCCACCTTCCTCTGAATAGCAAACTGGATCATTTTATGATCACTGTCCTCTAGCCTCCCTTGTACTAGCACATCCCCCACCAGGTCATCCCCAGAGGCTAACACCAGATCCAGTATGGCATTTTCCCTAGTGGGGATGTGTACCTCCTACACGACGTGTAGGTCCTGTATGCACGTCAGGAACCTTTGTGAGTGGCTAGACCTGGTCAACTGCTTCTCCTAGTTGACGTCAAGGTAATTCATATCACCCATGACCACAACATCCTTTGCACGCATGGCCTTCCCCAGCTGCCTGGAGAATTCCAGATCCAGCTCTTCCTCCTGATGTGGTAGCCTGTAGTAAACCCCTACCACCAGTTCCCTCTCCCCCCACCCTCCTTCAAGTTTGTCTCACAGGGTCTCAGTTGAGTCTTCCTCTGGTCCCATTTGGACGGTAGAACTGGTATACTGTTCCCTAACATAGAGCACAACCCCCCCACCCCACCTTTTTTCCCCTTCCTATCTCTTCTAAACAACCTAAAGCCCTCTATGTCTAATGCCCAGTCAAATGCGGATCGCTGCTGCTGCTGCCTCAAGGGTCGGGGGATACCGGGGGCATCGTGTGCTCCCTCCAGCATCCTCAGCCGACTGCTTTGGCCAGCTGATTAGCCTGGGTTCAAATTTCCTGGGCCAATCAGCAGGGCCAATCAGACAGTCAGTTGAGCCAGTCAATCAGCTGTGTCTGCCTGCAGCCCCGCCCCCTGTGGGAACCCCGCTTGTTGGCCGGAGCTTTGTCCCACCAGGGGATCCCTGGTAAGTCGACTCTCGGGCTTCCAAGCTCCTAGCGCTCTCCCACCCTGGTGCAAACTCCAGCGCGCCCCTAAAGAGCGCACCTGTTTGCACTCCCTGTTCGCGTGGCTCCCGCCCGGTGTGGCTAAATAGGGTCAGGCAGGGAAAGAGTCCCCTGCCCGATCGCCAGCACCTGGCCACACTCGCTCCCTTCCCCAGCTTACCTCGTTGCCGCAGCTGTCCCTTAGCTGCGGTTCGCTGCTGCTGCTGCTGTCGCCGCCTCAAGGGTCCAGGGATACCAGGGGCACCGTGTGCTCCCTCCGGCGTCCTCAGCCATGTGCAGACCCAGGGGCACATGCCCCCTCCATACCCTTCCAGGGTGTGCTTAGTAGTGGGAACAGCCAGCCCCTTCCCGTGCCCCCTGGACGAGCCACTTGCAGCTCTGTCCCACACCCTGTCTTGGCTGTGCAGCACCTGTCCCAGCCCTATCCCTGCTTCCTCCCTCAGTGCGGCGGCCTTGATCTGCCCCCCTTCCCCCATGCTTCTTCCCCCACAACAGACTTACCAGCTGGATGCTGCTCTCCAAGCTGCCTGGCTGCATATCTGCAGTCAGATAGACATCAGCCAATATGACTTGTTAAAAATTGGCCATCAGCATTGGCCCAAAATATCTCTGTTGGTGCACCCACAGCAAAGATAGATGGTGAAGTACTCTGATTGCACTAGTTGAAGAGCTGTGAAATAATCTCACCCATGCTATATGCTTAGTGGTTGGCTTAAATTTTTCCAAACTAAAGACGAATTTGTGCTGTTGAATAGAAGACCTCTTGGCCATTGCAATACCAGAACATTTTTCCTCAAGAGGACAGTATTTCAGAGATGTCTAACGTTAGACAGTTCATCCATTTTAGTGTATATTCAGACTTCTGTTTCGCAGTTGTTTTCAGATGTCCCCAAAATTTTTGAAGAATAAGTTTATCTCAGCACTCAATATGACAAGTTGTTAATAGATGCACAATTTTAGAGGATGTTTTTTAGCTGTGATAAGTAACGCTTGTATTTGTGCTTCAGAATAATGGCAGATACAAAGAGAGATGGTTGATTAGGTATGTTTGTTCCATCTCTCAACTCCTTTTGCTCTAATCATATCAAGTATTCAAGCCTGATTTTTTTTGTCTTGCACCCCCTCCACTTTGGACACAACTATCATCTGTATCCTCTAATCAAACTGATTTAAATACCTAATGTTTATTGAAACATAAAGTATGCTGTTTTCTACAGCTGTAGATCTTGGTTTGACCTAGGAAACTCTTACAGTCATTTGTTAGTTTCCACTTTTGAAGTTGCTTTGTCTTATGTGTATACTTAATGCATGACTGCCCCTCATGGCCAATGCAGTACCAGTGCATTAATAACTGTGCTGACATCTTTTGATTTATTCCTAAATCTCTCTTTGTAGCCACTCTAAGGTCTTGAATATGAATGACATGAATGAATGTTTACATTTTATGAAAGGTCCAAGAAGTCTCAAGCTCGGCTGGCTTACTTGCATATTGCTAGCACATTCATTTGACCATAATGCTTAACATGCCAACTTGAGTTCATTACAGGGTTATTTGAGAGAATCTGTCTTTGGATTTCTCCCCCTCCCCACACTGATTCACTTGGAATACTTTTACTTTTCCATAGCTGGCTATTTCAGGAATTTTTTTTCCTGATAGTCACCCAATTTTTCCCCTCTTAATTTCTCTTGTTACTGAAGCAGGGTCTACACTTTCTACAAGAAACATGGATGTATTGTCAATAATTGATTAGTATTAGGCAGAAAATAGGACAGCGTGGCATTTGATTGATTAGCATTAATTACAAACTTGCTGGGATGCATATTCTCATCTTATTCTATTTTGACATTCAGTGGAGCTATAGTTCTGATGGATTTGACCGTCCATTGGGTGAATGAGTTGCCCTAACAGCCAGGCAGGAACAAACCTGAGCCTGTGCTTACCTGTCTATCTCCTCGCATCTCCTGACCCCTTTCAAATGATCTGGTGGCACCCTGGTTGAGAATCGTTTTCCAAACAGATCTTTTATACTTTAACCATCCAGCTTCCAAAGTTTGAGTTGGGTTGTTGAAGGTATTATACTTGAGCTTTACAGTTTTGCAGCTGGCCCAGATGCCGGGATTAAATAGAGATGGCAAGTGTTGGGATCTATCCCTGTTGTGGATTACTTTAATACTGTATTTATCTGAATCCAAGACCACTCTGAATTTAAGAAGACCCTCCAATAATTCTATACATGAAAAAATTAAAAATTTATTGTAATTATCCATATCTAGAATTGCTGGAGAGTTGTTTTAAATTTGTGTCCCTCTCCCCCTCCATGCAGCAAGGAAATCAGCGGCAGGAGGCAGGCATTGGGGGGGTGGGGAAGAAGGAACATTCAGGGGAGTCAGGTGGCCTGAACCCTACCCCTTGTCCCCCATACGGGCCCTCTGCTTTGCCTGTCACCCCCTACTACTTGCTTCCCTCCCCAACATGTGACCTGTCCTGTCCCCATATGCCCCCACACTGCCACTTATCCTCCAGCTCCAGTCTGGGGTACAGGACAGCAGGCAGTGACCCCGACCCAAGGCCGGGACAATGCTGCCAGCATTGTGCTGCTACGGATTTGAGTTGGGGCCAGAGAAACTATGTGCTCTGTGCCCTGGGCTTGAGTGGGGCTGGAGCCCAGCCAGAGCCTGAGGATAAGTGGCAGGGAGGTGGGGACATGGCCAGAGGTGGTGGGTGAAGAGGGTGGTGGTTGAGACAGAGTTAGGGTGGATGGGCTGAAGCTCTGATCCTGACCCCAGGCCAGAGCTGGAGCTGCAGCTACCACTTACTCCCCTGCCATCCTGTGCTCAAATCCAACACAAAGGAGCTTTTCCCCTCATGTTAAGTGTAAGCATGGTATATTTAATTCCTTTTGTGTTCAAATGAGCTTGCCCAACTCCTCATTTGTTGCAGCAATTTATTTGCAATTAAAGGACAGAGTAAAATGATCTAAGCTAAGTGCATTGCACCTTGAAATGCTTTTGTGCCCAAGGTCAGGAATTTTAAATGCAGTTCTTATTATGCCTTCTAATGCACCAATATTAAAAACTAGGAAAGAACTGATTAGTGGTCATTTTAACATGGCTGACTTCTTTTAAAGAGTACTTCACTTAAATTGCTGTAATCTGAGTTCCCTAAAAATATTTTAAAAATCAAAAAATGGAATTAGTTTAGTAGTGTATATACTTACCTTGATTCCAATTATATTCTAGGCAGCAAAGGAACAGACCCAGGATTTGATAGTGAAGACGACAAAGCTTCAAGCTGAGAAGTATGTGCATCATCATATTTATTTTTTGCTTTACATAATAGTAGTTGAAACCATGACAGGATCAGACCTTTAAGTATTATTATTTCATACTTTTGCAAGCAAACTCATTTGAAACTCAGTATGAAGAAAGGCCCTTTGGATGATGAAATTTGTGAACACATGTTGCCATTTCTTGTCCTCAGAAGTCTGTTTTTTCTGGAGGTGGTGGAAAATAGCAGTTTGGAGTGGCACGGTGTGGTGAATATTAATGTTCTTTATCTGATGCAAGGCCAGAATGTGATACTCAGTTTTGTCTTATAACACACAGTGGTGTACAATAATCAGTTCAGTAGAGAAAAGCTCCTAAACACCTGTTGAAAATTCAGCTATTTATTGTGCTGATTTGTTTAGAAATACTGACTGCTTGGTACTATACCTGACATTGATCATTATATGTTTTTCTCGAGGCCATGGCCACCTTCAAATTCCATATTGACTTTTTTTGTTCCGTCATGGCTTTTTAATACTAATGACACAGGGATCCTGGTTTTCTCTGATTAAAAAAAAATCCCTCGTTTTCTTATTTCTTATTTTAATCACGGAAAAATGTGTATTTGGGGTTACTTTTTTTTAATCTGAAAACTGGGGATCTTTTACATAGGAGAAAAATCAGGATCTCTGCTAATGACTGATTATTGTTCTGTTAACAGTTGTGCCGATGAAACTAATATTCTTGCATAATTTTGATTCGGAACAGTATGATTTGGCTTTCTTGTTCCACTTTTGTGTAATGAGAACTTCCCTGTCTTGCTTAGAGATACTTGATTGTCTCATAGAGTGAAGAGAATGCACAAATCCAAGAAGAATTGTGTCCATTTAGCAAGATCTCAAGTTTTATAAATGTGAAGATAAATGTAATGTTAAAAAAAAAGTGTAACTAGCCATGTCTGAGATTTTGTGACTAGCATTTAATGTGGAGGAAAGGAAGACCAAGGAGGTAAAGCAGAGGCTTAGGGTCAGAAAGCCTAGATCAGGTTTTTAAAAGTGCCTTCAAGTTTCATAAGCTTCAGAGAAGATGCTGTTAACAGGCCAGGCTGTAGGATTTGTTCCCTTTCACTAAATGGGTGAGAGGGAGAAAATCTGTTCCTACTTAACTTCAGACAAGTATTTGTGTAGTCGTTTTTTTGTTTTTATTTTTTACTAGCCATATTGGATGCATGTATTATGTTTTTCCTGCAGACTTTACACACATTAGCACATGTTGGCACAAACTGCCAAATTGCACGCCTGTTTTGCCATATTAAAAATTAGCTGTGAAATGCAGTCCATATTTTATAAGCTTGAACATGAGCAAGTTCTCCTTAAAGTCCCCCATGCACCTGGTAGCAGTTAAAAGAAAGATTTATATTCTGTTCTTTTCACTTTCTTTACTTCTGGGAATGGAATAATGACCTATGCAATATCTGTGTTGTCTTCATGTATTTTTTAATAAGGACGTATATTTACAACTTTAGCCTTTATTGTCAGGTTAAGAAGAATGAAGCTATTTACTTTTTCTGCATGTTCTTCCTTTGAAAAATTAATGTAGATCTCTGGTGATTATTAACTTATCACAGGAACAAATTATTTATAATGGGAAGTATGACTAGAATAGAGTTCATCTTTTTCAAACAAGTCAGTGAGGTACCCTGAGATTTTGTGTGTGGAGTTGCAGTTTGTATTCTATTCACTGTTCCACATTTGACTTTAAATCTGTTTAATGTAAAGTAGTTGACTTTGCCAAAACCTTCTACTTAATATTACCTATTGAATAAGTTATTGAGCAAAATAGTTGGTGACTTTGAAAATTCATTACTTTCATAGGTATACGTGAAGTGATTATAACTGAGCTGTGGTTATATTTTTCACTTAATCTTAGAAATGCAGAGCCATAAGGGACCGTTTAGTCCAAGCCCTTGCACTGAGGCAGGATTCAGTGTAATGAGGCCAATCCCAACAAAATTTGTGTAATCTTTTCTTAAAAACTTCTGATGAAGAAGATTCCACGACCTCCCTTTGTATACCTTTGTAAAGCTTTACTACCTATCCTAAATTTTCTTTGCCACGAATTAAGCTGATTTCTTCCTCAAATGAACAAGGAACACTTGATCTCCATTTTCTTGACAGGAATCATTTAAGTGTTGGAAGACTGCTGTCATGTCTCTTTCCTGACTTTTCTTTTTAAAACTAGACAAACTCAACTCCTCCAGTATTTTCCATAGATCATATTTTCAAAACCTCACATAGTTTGTTTTATTCTTCTCTGGACTCTGTACATCTTCAAGTGCAGTTCCTAAAACTAGACATATTAATGTTGCTGCAGCTTGACCAGTATAGAGTGGAGAGGGTCCTCCCATGCCTTACATTTTATTTGCCTCTTCATACATCCTAGAATGAGATTTGCATTTCTGGGAGCAACACCACATTATGTTGATTCATATTTAGTTTGTATTCCCTGATACTTTCCAGTTTTTTCAGCTATACTGCTGCCTAAGCAAGCTATTCCTTTTTCTTTTTCTAAATGCACTTTATTTCTTCACCTGTATTGAATTTCATTTTATTAATTTTTGGATTCTTTCTACAATTCACCCAGATCATTTGGAATACTAATCTTGTCCTTCATAATACTGATCCTGTCCTTCATAGTACTTCAACCCTCTTCCAGCTTGATACCATTGGGTAATCTAGTGTACTCTACTCCATCATACAAACTGTTTATGAAAATCAAACATGACAAGCCCAGGTTGTAATGGGGCCCCTAACCCATGTTACTTGGTGGAGAGGCACCAGAATAAAGGGGCTGAGGAGAGAGGCAGGCTCTAAACTGCAAAGTTCCAGGTTGCTATTGAGGGAATAAGAGCCCTTGTTGTTTGGTAGAGAGAGAATCAGCAATGCTAAACAGCTGCAGGAAAGTGCAGAGGACAGCTCACAGGGAGACAGTCTGCAGAACAGTAACCCCACAGTAAGGACCAACCTTTTTATCAGGAGTGCCACAAATTAGCCACACACCCTCCCAGAGTGCCACTCCAATTCCCTTCTCTTGCCCAGTTGCCTCCTCTGCTTTTTGCTTCCTGCTGCTGTTTTCTGCTGCCTGTCCTTTTCCCACTCTGCTGCATTCCACATATAGAGGCTGCCTGTGCCACTTAGGGCATGAGTGCCACAGGTTAGCCACCCCTGGCTTAATGCATAGCCCCTATGCCCAGTCAGAGAAGGAACTTAGGTGACGGGAAGAAGAAAGTCAGAGGCATATATAAACCTAGCCCCTAGTCTAAAGAATCACTTTGGCCTGGATTCTGCAGGGTAAGGAGCTCTGTGAAGCATCTCGCAGTCATAAGCTGTTTCTGTCTGTTATGGAGTCTGTGAGGCATGTGTGTTGAAAAAAGTGCCAAATGGGAGAGGCTGGCATCATTTCTGAAAGGGGTACCAACAGGGGCTGAATTGGATCATGGGCAAAGGAGATGAGGTGGTAGATAGCCTTGAAGGCAAGACCTAAATGTTTAATCCCAAAGTGTTGAAGAGGAAGAGGTAGTTAAGTCATGTTAGTCTGAAGTCAGTCAGAAGGTAGGGTAGATGGGCACCTTTATAGACCAAATAAGGTTTGGTGTGTGTGTGTAGCACAAGCCATCTGAAACCCAAGTTCATTTCATCAGACGCTGTAAAAGGAGGTGCTGAAAGCAGAGGTATAAGGAGAGAGAAATTAGAATACAAAAGACAAGGGGAGGGAAGGGGGGCAGTTCCAGGAGAGAAAAACAAATGAGCAGCAAACCAGTAGGAATGCAGGGGGTCACAAAAGCTAATCCAGGTAATGAGCTAAGAATTCATAGTCCCTGTTTAAATCATACTTAACACAGTTCAGTTTGTGGATGATTTCTTATTCTGCAGTTTCTCATTCAAAAAAGAACAGAAGTCAGTGACATGAGTATGAAGGGGATCAAACTTCCAAGGGCACTAAATCTACCTTCTATTAATGCACACATAAAATGTATGTTCAGTTTCTGTGGGCTGTTTCACTTGTGCAGAAAAGTAATTGAAATACACAAAGCTGTTGGGTCAGAGATGATATCTTTTATTAGACCAACTAAATAGTAGCAAAAAAATTCCATTTTTTGCAAGCTTTCGGGCATGTGTACCCTTTATTGTAAATACCCTTCCAGCCTCTAAACTTCCCTGTCCAAAATGGAGTTTATTTTCTACCTAGGAGGACTTTTACAATCTTTGAATTCTCCTCAGCCTGATGAAAGGTGTGTGTGCCCAAAAGCTTGAAAAGAAAGGAATTTTTTGCTACTATTTAGTTGGTCTAAGAAAAGACTCTGACCCAAGAGCTTTATGTATTTCTTTTTCTCAGACCTACTTAGCTACAGAATTGATGCACGTCGATAAAATGCATCTGGGCTAAACTGCTGTGTCTAAACTATGCATGTGTATAAATGCTCATGTATGTGCAAATGATTTTGCTCAACATTTGTACAGTGAAGTTGTGCCCATATCAATGGAGGCCTTGTTTTGATCATTTGTCTCCACAAGTTGTTGAGTGTGTTAGTCATGTAAGCACTTCTGTAACTGAAAATTCAACAGGTATATCTATTTTTTGGTATCTCAAGGGATGATGTTCTTAATACTGGGCAGTTCGATATGTGCTTGTTATAAAGCTTTTTTTCATCCCTTAAAACCAAAATATACTTGTACAATGAGGTATGTACCAACTTATGTAAAAACATTCATTATTAGTGAAACATTTTCCCTTCAATCCATATGTAGTTGGTATTATTAATATTAATAAGAATTACGCACATACGTCAGGAGAAAAATGAATTCATTAAGTAAGTCACATTTTTCTGTTTAAATGAAATTCTGATGCAATAGTAGAGATTGCTTGAGAATCAAAAACAAGCAAATACAATTAACTGGAATTGATTTTGCACAGTGGGGATCAAACTCAATGAAGGCATTCTGTGTGTTGGCAAAGAGAATGAAGGTCATGA